TATATGACTGTGTAGTAACTTAGGTTGTTTTTTCGCTTTGATTGCAATATCGTTCTCATAGTCCCTTTCCGATGTTCGTCTTATGTTAATGTAATCGTTCCTAGCTCTGTTGTATCTGCTTCTGTTGTCCTCTGTTCTTTGTCTTCTGTACTTCCTCCACTCCCGCCTGCTGGCCATTTTTGCTTCCTGACACTGTCTATTAAACCATGGGTTATTATATTCCTTCTTATTTTTTCCCTTTACCGTTGGTATAAATCTCTCTTCGGCCTCCTGGCATTTCTGTATGACTAGGTCCATCATATCTTGGACTGTTTTTCCTCTAATTTCTTCCTCCCACTGCACTTCACCCAGATAGTCCCTTATCCTCATATAGTCCCCTTTCCTGTAGTCAGCTCTCCTTTCCCAGATCTCTTGTCCCATGGTCATAATTTTGAATTCCATCATGTAGTCAAAGACTAGGACACAATGGTCACTGGCCCCTAGAGGTATTTCATGCTCTAAATTCTCGATATCTTCTACGTTCTGGGTGAAAATCAGGTCTAATAGGCTCGGTGCATCTCCTCCTCTTTCCCTTGTGTCTTCCTTCACATGTTGTGTCAGGAAATTCCTGTCTATAACATCTACTAATTTTGCTCCCCACGTTTCATCCCCTCCATGGGGATTCCTTGATTCCCAATTTATCTCTCCATGATTTAGGTCCCCCATGATCAGCAGCTTCGCTCTCATTCTGTGGGCTAGTGTTGCTGCCTTCTGCAGTTCATCAATACATGCTTTGTTGTTGTCATCATACTCCTGCCTGGGTCTTCTACTGTTTGGTGGGGGATTGTAGATTACCATGATCACAATCTTCCTCCCATCTACTGTCAGAGTTCCATGTATGAAGCTTGTGCACTCATTGGTAACTCGATTTCCCAGGTCTTCAAACTTCCATTTCCGCTTTATTAGGAGTGCTACTCCCCCTCCCTGTCTCTGTGTCCTCTCTTTTCGTATCACCTGGTACCCTTCAGGAAAGATAGCATCTGAGATCATGTCATTAATTTTAGTTTCCACAATTGCAACTATGTCAGGATCTGCTTCACTCACTCTTTCTTTTATCTCTTCTGCTTTATTAGATACCCCATCAGCATTGGTGTACCAAACCTTGAGATTCTTCATGGAAACTCTTGTACCAGAGTTCTCCCTTTCTCTGGGGGTCTGGGGGGATCTGGGGGATGTCTGGGGGGTGACTGGGGGCAGAGGGGATCTGGGGGATCTGGGGGGTGTCTGGGGGATGACTGGGGGCGGGGAGGGTCCGGGGGATGTCCGGGGGGATCCAGGGGGTGTCTGGGGGGGTCCGGGGGGTGTATGGGGGGTGAAAGAGTTCAGGAGGGGTGCTTGGGGGGCTACTGGGGGCTGGGCTTCTAGGAAGGTAGGTAGGAGGGTCTGGGGTAGGGCCTGGGTAGGTAGGTCTGGAGTAGGAAGGGCATACTGGGTCTGAAGATTAGGGAGGGCATAGAGGGGTTGGGAGATGGCGTAAGGTTGGGAGACAGATAGAGGTTGAGAGGTTGGGAGGGGGATGGATAGAGGGGGTGGGGGGGACCTCCCACCTCCCTCGCAAGGGTGGGGGGTCACATGGAAGGAGAGGGGATGAGGAGGGGTGAGGGCAGGGTAGGCTTTGGGTGTTGAGGGGATGAGGTCTGGGTGGGTTCTTGGGGTTGAGGGGATGAGGTCTGGATGGGATTTGGGGGTTGAGGAGATGAGAGCTGGGTGGGTTTTGGGGGTTGAGGGGACGAGGGCTGGACGGGTTTTGGGGGTTGAGGTGATGAGGGGGTCCTTGGAATGTGGGATGAATTTGACTCCAGTGGGGTCAGAGGGGTCAAGGGATGTGCTGGGGAGATAAGCAGGGGCGGCTGATTTGGGAAAGGGGTGACCTGAGAAGCACGTGTGAGCTGGTTAGCATGGGGTGGATTAGCACTGGGGTGTGTAGCTGCGCTCAAATGGGAAGAGTCGTATTGTTGTTTGCTTGCTCTGTGGGCAATCTGTTCCTCCTTCGTCATGAATTTGTCAATAAATACGTTGTAGTAATTTTCGCTACCTCTGAGTAGGTGTTTGTGATGCAGTATGTAATCCACTGCCTCTTCGTTAGTGAACTGTACCAGGACAGGTCGTTTCCTGTTACAGTTGTATGGTCCAATGCGTCGGTGGACTTGCACCTCATTCCCTGCCATCTGGGCTCTCATGTCTCTCAAGATCCCCTGTAGTTCCAAATCCTCAATCTCCATCCTTTCCTGCCTCGATGGTGCCCTGGCTTCAAGTAATCCATGGATTATGATTGTCCTCTTTCTCAGTTCAGGGTCATGCTGGTGGCCCTCTCCCTGGCTGACCCCCACCCCTCCTACACCCGCTACTCCACCTACTACTACTACTTCCCCTTCCCCTGCCAAGCTTCCCTTATTCCTGCCAAATTCATTAGTAAGCCTAGATATTTCTCCTTGCCATTCTACCCTGCTCTTCCTGATTTCCTCTTGAATATAATCCATAAACTCTTGTTTGAGTCTTTGAACCTCGCCCTGTATCTTATTAAAGACTTCACTTTTAATCCCCTGGATTAGATCACCTATCCAAACATCCCTCTTCTCTACAAATTTCCCAATCATCTTCTCCACAAACCTATCTTCTTCCTCAATCATAATACTGCTGTGTGTGTGTGTGTGTGTGTGTGTGTGTGTGTGTGTGTGTGTGTGTGTGTGTGTGTGTGTGTGTGTGTGTGTGTGTGTGTGTGTGTGTGTGTGTGTGTGTGTGTGTGTGTGTGTGTGTGTGTGTGTGTGTGTGTGTGTGTGTGTGTGTGTGTGTGTGTGTGTGTGTGTGTGTGTGTGTGTGTGTGTGTGTGTGTGTGTGTGTGTGTGTGTGTGTGTGTGCAGCCCATTCTCCTGTTTGGGCGGTTACTTATAGTAACGATGAGGACCATGGTATATATACCGACTTACAACGACATTAGAAAGTAGAAATTTGAACTATTGAGTTGGACAAACCGGAAACCTATATTTTACTTGTGTTGCTTTGACAAACTAACCTAACCTTCCTAGGCCTAATACACGATATCTTAGGCCTAATATAGTACACATGTGTGCTATACTAGGCCTGGGAATATTTAAGTTTGTTTTTTAGCTTCATTTATTTTAAAAGAATTCCTTACTAGTCAGTATACTACTGTCTAAAAGCTAAGAACCTACGAATTGGTGACTATTGACGAACGTCACAATAGTTACTGTCTACACAGTGGACGGGTTGTTACACGTGTACTCACCTAGTTGAGTCTGCAGGATCGAGCATTGACTCTTGGATCCAAATCATGTGTGATTCATCAAATTGGATGACGTGTGTGTGTGTGTGTGTATTTATTATTTGTGTCTGAAGAATCGAGCTATTAGCTCTTGGACCCCGCCTTTCTAACCAATCTATTTTTCCTCTATTATATATAATACATATATTTCTCTCTATCACACACACACACACACACACACACACACACACACACACACACACACACACACACACACACACACACACACACACACACACACACACACACACACACACACACACACACACACACACACACACACACACACACACAGGAAGCAGCCCGTAGCAGCTGTCTAACTTCCAGGTACCTATTTACTGCTAGGTGAACAAGTGCATCAGGGTGAAAGAAACTATGCCCATTGTTCCTCGCCGGCGCCGGAAATCGAACCCGGGCCACAGGACTACGAGTCCCGCGCGCTGTCCACTCAGCTACCAGCGTCCCTAATCCCCCTGATCTGTGTGCAATTACCTAAGTGTAATTACCTAAGTGTAATTACCTAAGTGTAGTTACAGGATGAGAGGTACGCTCGTGGTGTCCCGTCTTCCCAGCACTCTTTGTCATATAACGCTTTGAAACTACTGACGGTCTTGGCATCCACCACCTTCTCCCCTAACTTGTTCCAACCGTCTACCACTCTGTTTACAATTTCATTCGGCACAAACATTCCATAACCATCATTAATGTAATCTAGTCTATATTTATAGTGGAACAATTTTGAGGTTATCTTGAGGTTATCTTGAGATGATTTCGGGGCTTTTAGTGTCCCCGCGGCCCGGTCCTCGACCAGGCCTCCACCCCCAGGAAGCAGCCCGTGACAGCCGACTAACTCCCAGGTACCTATTTACTGCTAGGTAACAGGGGCATTCAGGGTGAAAGAAACTTTGCCCATTTGTTTCTGCCTCGTGCGGGAATCGAACCCGCGCCACAGAATTACGAGTCCTGCGCGCTATCCACCAGGCTACGAGGCCCCTAGGTCACAACATTTGAAAAATATAACTCTTAGAGATCAGTTTTGGGTTCTTACAAATGAATGAGTGTGATGGTTGTTATCGAATATCTAATTTCTCCTCATAGTGTAGAATGATGCCGTGTGTATCCGTAACTGTATCCTGCCTGTATCCCTCACCGTGTTTCAAACAAATGGGCAGAGTTTCTTTCACCCTGATGCGCCTGTTCACTTAGCAGTAAATAGGTACCTGGGAGTTAGACAGCTGCTACGGGCTGCTTCTTGGGGATGTGTAACAAAAAGGAGGCCTGGTCGAGGACCGGGCCGCGGGGACGGTAAGCCCCGAAATCATCTCAAGATAACCTCAAGATAACCTCAAAAAGATATATAATCTTCTCTCACACTGTCCTTGGCATCCTGCAGGGAGCAGGGTTCAAGACCTGAGAAAAGTATTGACCCTTCTACGTCACCGCTGCTGTATAAACAAACCTAACCCAATCTATTCTGAGCTAACCTAACTACCCTAACCAAACCAAACCTAGCCTATCTTATCCTATCATACCCTAACGAAGATAAGAGATAAAATGTTGTGTTTGATATATACGGTGCGCAGGTGTGTGACGTCACTATGACGTCCCATACTGTGTGATGTCTATATGATGTCACGATGCCCGTGTCGGCGGAGGTTTCGTGACCTTCTGGTTACAGGCGGTGCCGGGGGAGATGGTGGGGGCGCTGGCCGCTCAGTCGCTGGGGGAACCCGCCACCCAGATGACCCTCAACACCTTCCACTTCGCCGGCGTCTCCTCCAAGAACGTGACGCTGGGCGTCCCGAGACTCAAGGAGATCATCAACATCAGCAAGCGGCCCAAGGCGCCGTCCCTCACCGTCTTCCTGGTGGGGGCGGCCGCCAGGGACGCCGAGAAGGCCAAGAATGTTCTCTGTCGCATGGAGCACACCACCCTTAGGAAGGTAAGGCGGCCCCTGACACCACCCTTAGGAAGGTAAGGCGGCCCGTGACACCCCCCTCAGGAAGGTAAGGCGGCCCGTGACACCACCCTTAGGAAGGTAAGGCGGCCCGTGACACCCCCCTCAGGAAGGTAAGGCGGCCCGTGACACCACCCTCAGGAAGGTAAGGCGGCCCCTGACACCACCCTTAGGAAGGTAAGGCGGCCCGTGACACCACCCTCAGGAAGGTAAGGCGGCCCGTGACACCACCCTCAGGAAGGTAAGGCGGCCCGTGACACCACCCTCAGGAAGGTAAGGCGGCCCCTGACACCACCCTCAGGAAGGTAAGGCGGCCCGTGACACCACCCTCAGGAAGGTAAGGCGGCCCGTGACACCCCCCTTAGGAAGGTAAGGCGGCCCGTGACACCACCCTCAGGAAGATAAGGCGGCCGCTGACACCACCCTCAGGAAGGTAAGGCGGCCCGTGACACCACCCTTAGGAAGGTAAGGCGGCCCGTGACACCACCCTCAGGAAGGTAAGGCGGCCCGTGACACCCCCCTTAGGAAGGTAAGGCGGCCCGTGACACCCCCCTCAGGAAGGTAAGGCGGCCCGTGACACCACCCTTAGGAAGGTAAGGCGGCCCGTGACACCACCCTCAGGAAGGTAAGGCGGCCCGTGACACCACCCTCAGGAAGGTAAGGCGGCCCGTGACACCACCCTCAGGAAGGTAAGGCGGCCCCTGACACCACCCTCAGGAAGGTAAGGCGGCCCGTGACACCCCCCTCAGGAAGGTAAGGCGGCCCGTGACACCCCCCTCAGGAAGGTAAGCCGGCCCCCCCCTGACACCACCCTCAGGAAGGTAAGGCGGCCCGTGACACCCCCCTCAGGAAGGTAAGGCGGCCCGTGACACCACCCTCAGGAAGGTAAGGCGGCCCGTGACACCACCCTCAGGAAGGTAAGGCGGCCCCTGACACCACCCTCAGGAAGGTAAGGCGGCCCGTGACACCCCCCTTAGGAAGGTAAGGCGGCCCCTGACACCACCCTCAGGAAGGTAAGGCGGCCCGTGACACCCCCCTCAGGAAGGTAAGGCGGTCCCTGACACCACCTTTAGGAAAGTATATATACATATATATATATATTTATATATAACATTCATCCTAGCTTCACCTTATGCTTACAGTTCATATGTCCCCTATGTTGCATTCTCTCCCCACAAAAGCCACCTTTAGTATTGCATAGCTTGCTGAGTATATCTATATAAGCTAGATGGATGGTGCGCCGGTGCTGCTCATCAAGGTGACTGGTCAACCCGTTCTCGCAAATTGAATAAGTCAATATTGACTTATTAAATATGTGCATAGGTGACATACTTAACATAATAGATACCCTTAAAAAGATTCATAGAAAACACCGACCTTACCTAACCTTATTAGTATCTTAAGATAAGCATCTTATTGCTTCGTAATTACAATTATTACCTAACCTATAATAGGACTGGTACACGGTACCCACAGGTGACCTCCAACACGGCCATATATTACGATCCGGACCCCCAGAACACGGTGGTGGCCGAGGACCAGGAGTTCGTCAACGTCTACTACGAGATGCCAGACTTCGACGTCACCAGGATATCCCCTTGGCTCCTGAGGATTGAACTGGACAGGAAAAAGATGACAGGTAGGTAGGCGGAGTAGATGAGGGAGGGAGAGATAAAGTAGATGCTCGTGTTTACCTACTATATGTACATACCTACACTCATCCTTCATATGTACATACCCGTTGTTGTTGTTGTTGTTTTAGATTCAGCTACTTGGAACAAAAAGTTGCAAGTAGTACGGCCTATGGAGAGCCCGTAGTGGACTTACCAGGCACCGGAGCGGGGCTGTAACTTCTGTACATACCCCACACTCGTCATCTATATATACATTCCCACACTCATCCACTATATGTACTCTTATGATCGCCATCTAATAACAGTCCTTTCCGGCCTCAAGAGTCATTTTACCCACCAAAAAAACTCGCAAACGGCCCAGTTTGTAATTTAAGTTAAGAAGGAACAAGTCTTATACACAATCTTGCGTGATATTTGGCTGTAAATGGGTGAGCTGTAGCAGATTGTGAAACAAAATGGCGCCCGGGCGGGCAGTCATACATCCGGGAACTTTTGGAGTGCAGGGACATGTGTCTAGAGCTCACATAACATAAGAGATGACTGGCGGGGGCTCAGGTGCTCAGCGAATCAGCGACGAGCTTTCTGTGACGTCATCGGCAGGCACCGAGCCCGCCCCGGGGAGCGGAGTCCAGTTCAGTGTTCGGCTAGACTGCAGATGGGGAGGTTGCGACCTTGGGCGCTCTCGCAAGGATCGGAAGATTTGGATCTTAAGTGGCAAGTTGAGCCCAAAAGAGAGGCAACAGCACTCGGACCACATTGAGGCGCCAATGGAACCTTTCTGGATAAGCTCGTACGAGTGTCATCGACGAAGAGACCTGCTGAGAGTAGAAGAGACTTGATAGCGTGCCAGATTCAGTGGAGGGAGTTACAAGTACCTTCATGTGGACCTTGGCAGGTCAATGAGAGTGGACTGACCGTTGAAGCCAAGTGACAGTCCAACCAGTGGGCATGAGAAGCAGTAATGTCTCGGTGTGTGTGGCTATTCCACACAAGGAGTAGCCATTGAAGAGTCTAGTGAAGACACGACCGAGGTCACGGTAAGCAAGTGCTCCTTTGGATTTTCACCTGTGGAGAGACATGTAGAATGTCAATTGTGACCCCTGGAAAGGGAATGTTTTATTTAACTGTGCCAGCGAGAAGGCTGTGAGCACCCATTTGTCGACGTTAAACATTTCTATAGTAACCAGTGAGGCGAGCATGTGCAGTACAATTTAATATGTCTGCTTTGTAAAGACTGAAAAATAGTGAACAGACTGTGATGGCGCCCTGTATCGAAACCGACCCAACTAGAGAAGTCGGCCATCGTGATATCTTCTTCCATGGCAATGAATCAGTGCACTGGGCACTGACATATGGATACCGGGAAAAGGTACATCCCGTGGAGCGATGAGAGTCAAGGAAGATACAGTGTTGACACCAGCGTTGGACACCCCTCAGAACGTGCCCCCCCCCCCCCCCCAGTGTGTTGATGCAAGCAGCGTGTCCCCCAGTAACCTTCAACGCAAGCAGAGCTAACTACCATTGTTATGCATTAAGATTCCTTGGACGAAACACTAATGATGCAGTGGTCTACACTGGTTCACAAGCAGCACTACAAAGCCTTCGTAAAAATCGGGCAGAAAATCTTGCAATAGTCGCTGAAGTCAAGAAAGTTGTGAGAGTACTTACCAATCAGGGAAGAGTCGTCAAATTTCTGTGGATCCCCTCCCATGTTGTAATATGTGGAAATGAATGAGCAGATGTGCTGGCTGCTGAATGTGCTGAAGGAGGCCATAGTGAATACTTCATACCCAAGACTTTTCTACAAATTAGAGGTATTGCCAGGCAACATCACCGTGACAAGGTAACAGAGGAAAGGAGGATAGAAGCACAAATCAGTGAATCTGTACGCTGGTACAACATGGTTGCAGCTGGCAATCCAATCATTATGGATGAAGAGGTGGTGGCTGTGGGAGAGAATCAGTAATAGCAAGAATCCGTCTTGGATACAAATATCAATGAAGATTCGGAATGGAAACAACAGTGGAGCAGAGGAGTTGCAGAATCTGTGATGAGAGTGATGGACACCGCCTTGACCACTACCTGAGAGAATGTAAACATCTAAGAGTCATTAGAAATATGTGTAGAATAATAAACCCCACATTGTTTGAGTTAGGAAAATATTATGTCAAATATTGATACTGTTCTTAAGACATTCCCCTATTTTACACTTAAATTTAAATTTAAGTGAAATTTAAAATTTAAATTTAAAATATGTATGGGTGTCTGAGACTTTTCTGGTAAGGTTAGCACAAATTGATGAAAAATAGCTATTGAATTCGGTTGGAATTTCTAAGTCTGATTGGATGAGGTCATGCTTCACAGCGGATTTGCGAGTTTAATGAGGATTTGCCTAGTACTACGGGGACTGTTTTCATCCATTCTAACAGCTGATTTGATATCAACGTTGACTTTGATCTTTGAATTAATTAGGTCACGAGCTACATTACAGCAGGTCTCACCTTGTAGTTCTGATTAGAGAGTCGTGTAGTTTAAATTTAAATTTTGCCCCGAGGGGCGAGTTTATTAGGCAGCGCCACTCATCTTGTGAGTGGACATACCGCCATAGCAGAATGTACAACACTCCCCAATAGGAAGAAAACCCGCTGGGTTGTTCATCCTGTCACTTGTACCCAGACACAGCTGGGACTTGCTTAACTGTCTCGAGTGAACGGCTCCTCAAACAAGAAGATTAACATCTATCAACCCTTAAAAGCTTACGTTATCTTGCGGGTGCAAAATGGGGAAATCTTTTAAGAACAGTAACTGACAAATAGTGTTTTCCTAACTCAAACAATGTGGGGTTTATTATTCTACACATATTCCTAATGTCTCTCAGGTGTTCACATTCACGTAGATAGTGGTCAAGGCGGTGTCCATCACTCTCATCACAGATTCTGCAACTTCGCTGATCAACTGTTGTTTCCATTCCATATCTCCATGGATATTTGTATCCAAGACGGATTCTCGCTATTACTGATTCTCTCCCTCGTCGTCCTCCTCTTCGACCATAATGATTGGGATTGCCAGCTGCAACCATGTTGTACCATCGTACAGATTCACTGGTTGTTGCTCTAAGTCATCTTTGGAAGCCGCCTGGTATACCTGGAAGAGATTTATTTGTTTTTCCATCTTTTGAAGGATATCACTTTGTCCTGGTTTGGGTTCCTCGGTCTTAATCTTGTTTATCGGTTCAATTGTGTCACTTGATGCAGCTTGTAAGCTGTGAACTGCTTGATCGTTGTTCGACGAAGACTCAAGGCGACAGTCTATGGTTTATTGTTGTCAAGAGACTGTAGCTTACATAAGAACATAAGACCATAAGAATGAATGAAGGTAACTGCAGAAGGCCTATAGGCTCATACGAGGCAACTCCTATTTATATCCACCCAATCTCATTCATATATATATCCAACTTACGCTTGAAATAATCAAGGGACCCCACTTCTATTATATTACGCGGTAATTGGTTCCACAAATCAACAACCTTTTTAAAATCCCTAGTAGCTTGGAGGGCCTCAGTTCTTCAGATTGCTGGAGCACCAGGTTGTGTAGTTTCTTTAGCCATGGGTTATCTCGCAGGGCTTTGAAACTTGTACAGGGAAGCATAGATTGAGCGAATTGCCCGAAACGCTTTGCGTAATAGTGGCTTTAGGCATTGTATGTACTAGCCCTATCTATAAATCCATCACTCTTTGTAAAATCTCTTGTATGTATGTACCTTACATAAATAAACATTTGATTTGATTTGATTTGAATTCCACCGCCTGAGTTTTGAGTTGTTTGGTTGGCGGCGGCGGCAGGGAGGAGCCAGACGCTGTGTTTACCAACACTGGCGACCCACCCGGGCTACATTAACACATCACCCCCCCCCCCACTCTCTAAAATGATGGTACTTGCACCAACTATTTGGTCACACACGTGTACAAATGCACTGTTGGATCCATAAGCGTTCACGGTTCGTGTTAATGAATTAACCCAAATGAAAAGCTGAACAATTTGAAATGTAATTGTAAATTTTCACCTATTAACCTGTCCATGCCTCCGCTGTCCTCTCCATGCCTTGGTCTCACATAGTGGCTCGAGTGTCTTGAGCATAATATTAATACACAGAGTAGTTTGAACAAGGGAATAATAGGCTTGACTAAGCAATCCACAATTTCTCCACCAGACAAAAAGTTGACAATGGAGCAGATCTCACAGAAGATCAACTCGGGCTTCGGCGACGACCTCAACTGCATCTTCAACGACGACAACGCCGAGAAGTTGGTGCTGAGGATACGGATTATAGTCGGCGACGACAAGTTCAACGACGAACCTGAAGAGCAGGTGTGTGTATCCCTGAGGTGCAAGCCCGTGTCCAACTGTGTGAGCATGTCTGTGTCCTTCTTGGGGTACAAGCACGTGTCCAACTGTGGGAGCATGTCTGTATCCTTCTTGGGGTACAAGCACGTGTCCAACTGTGGGAGCATGTCTGTATCCTTCTTGGGGTACAAGCACGTGTCCAACTGTGTGAGCATGTCTGTGTCCTTCTTGGGGTACAAGCACGTGTCCAACTGTGGGAGCATGTCTGTATCCTTCTTGGGGTACAAGCACGTGTCCAACTGTGTGAGCATGTCTGTGTCCTTCTTGGGGTACAAGCACGTGTCCAACTGTGTGAGCATGTCTGTATCCTTCTTGGGGTACAAGCCCGTGTCCAACTGTGTGAGCAGGTGTGTGTCCCCCTGAGGTACAAGCCCGTGTCCAACTGTGTGAGCATGTCTGTATCCTTCTTGGGGTACAAGCCCGTGTCCAACTGTGGGAGCATGTCTGTATCCTTCTTGGGGTACAAGCCCGTGTCCAACTGTGTGAGCATGTCTGTATCCTTCTTGGGGTACAAGCCCGTGTCCAACTGTGGGAGCATGTCTGTATCCTTCTTGGGGTACAAGCCCGTGTCCAACTGTGTGAGCATGTCTGTATCCTTCTTGGGGTACAAGCCCGTGTCCAACTGTGTGAGCATGTCTGTATCCTTCTTGGGGTGCAAGCCCGTGTCCAACTGTGTGAGCATGTCTGTATCCTTCTTGGGGTACAAGCCCGTGTCCAACTGTGTGAGCATGTCTGTATCCTTCTTGGGGTACAAGCCCGTGTCCAACTGTGTGAGCATGTCTGTATCCTTCTTGGGGTACAAGCCCGTGTCCAACTGTGGGAGCATGTCTGTATCCTTCTTGGGGTACAAGCCCGTGTCCAACTGTGTGAGCATGTCTGTATCCTTCTTGGGGTACAAGCCCGTGTCCAACTGTGGGAGCATGTCTGTATCCTTCTTGGGGTACAAGCACGTGTCCAACTGTGTGAGCATGTCTGTGTCCTTCTTGGGGTACAAGCCCGTGTCCAACTGTGGGAGCATGTCTGTATCCTTCTTGGGGTACAAGCACGTGTCCAACTGTGTGAGCATGTATGTATCCTTCTTGGGTACAAGCACGTGTCCAACTGTGTGAGCATGTCTGTATCCTTCTTGGGGTACAAGCACGTGTCCAACTGTGGGAGAATGTCTGTATCCTTCTTGGGGTACAAGCACGTGTCCAACTGTGGGAGCATGTCTGTATCCTTCTTGGGGTACAAGCACGTGTCCAACTGTGTGAGCATGTCTGTATCCTTCTTGGGGTACAAGCACGTGTCCAACTGTGAGAGCATGTCTGTATCCTTCTTGGGGTACAAGCCCGTGTCCAACTGTGTGAGCATGTCTGTATCCTTCTTGGGGTACAAGCACGTGTCCAACTGTGGGAGCATGTCTGTATCCTTCTTGGGGTACAAGCACGTGTCCAACTGTGTGAGCATGTCTGTATCCTTCTTGGGGTACAAGCACGTGTCCAACTGTGTGAGCATGTCTGTATCCTTCTTGGGGTACAAGCACGTGTCCAACTGTGTGAGCATGTCTGTATCCTTCTTGGGGTACAAGCACGTGTCCAACTGTGGGAGCATGTATGTGTCCTTCTTGGGGTACAAGCCCGTGTCCAACTGTGGGAGCATGTCTGTATCCTTCTTGGGGTACAAGCACGTGTCCAACTGTGTGAGCATGTCTGTATCCTTCTTGGGGTACAAGCACGTGTCCAACTGTGTGAGCATGTCTGTATCCTTCTTGGGGTACAAGCACGTGTCCAACTGTGGGAGCATGTATGTGTCCTTCTTGGGGTACAAGCCCGTGTCCAACTGTGGGAGCATGTCTGTATCCTTCTTGGGGTACAAGCACGTGTCCAACTGTGGGAGCATGTATGTGTCCTTCTTGGGGTACAAGCACGTGTCCAACTGTGTGAGCATGTATGTGTCCTTCTTGGGGTACAAGCACGTGTCCAACTGTGTGAGCATGTCTGTATCCTTCTTGGGGTACAAGCACGTGTCCAACTGTGAGAGCATGTCTGTTTCCTTCATGGGGTACAAGCCCGTGTCCAACTGTGTGAGCATGTCTGTATCCTTCTTGGGGTACAAGCACGTGTCCAACTGTGAGAGCATGTCTGTGTCCTAGAGGTGAAGGCATGTGTCCGGGGAAGGTGTAGCAGGTGCTCCTCTTACAATGTTCTTTATGTGGTCGTGAAGTGACAATTGTCTATCTAGAACCACCCTCAAATCTCTGTCTTTATCAAAATTCTTTAAAGATTTTGTTTACATAATTTGTAGGTTGTGTGTGGCCTGTTGCCTCCTATTCCACATTCCATAACGTGGCATTTGTTCACAGTCAAGTCCATTGAAGAGAATGACAATTGTCTAAGTTTCTTATCTTCTCTAGTATCTTAGCGGCTTCGGCGAACATGTTCATATAATTCTGTATTCCTTCTGGTAGATCGTTTATGTAGACGATGAACATTACTAGAGCAGAAACTTGACCTCCACTCATGACCTTTCTCCAGTCTAATTTATTGCCTCTTATTATCGTCCTCATTTTTCTGTCAGAATTGCTTTTTTTTCTGTTGGAGGATGACATCAGTAAAATGTCCCCTTCCAGTGACTTGATACTGATGGTGTTTGAGTGGTGTCCTATGATTAGGGCCGTGGTGGTCTCTCTCTCCTGTGGAGAGAGACATGAGGAGTGACACCCTGATAGTGGAGTTAGTGTCAAGGTTAACCTACAATGAAGGAAGGATTTAAGTCTACCTGGGCACGCGTGCGCGCACACACACACACACACACACACAACTAGGTGAGTACAACTAGGTGAGTACACACACACACGCACACACACGCACACACACACACACACACACACACACACACACACACACACACACACACACACACACACACACACACACACACACACACACACACACACACACACACACACACACACGCACACACACGCACACACACACTCACACACACACACACACACACACACACACACACACACACACACACACACACACACACACACACACACACACACACACACACACACACACACACACACACACACACACAGAAATAGATCCCACCTGCTCATCATGGGCGACTTCAATCACGGAAAGATTGACTGGGAGAACAAGGAACCGCATGGAGGCGAGGATACGCGGAGAGCCAAACTATTGGAGGTGGTGACAAGCAACTTTTTAACCCAGCATGTCGGAGAACCCACAAGGATGAGAGGCAATGACGAACCAGCGAGACTCGACCTAGTCTTCACTCTGAACGACTCCGACATAAGAGAAGTCGGTTTTGAGGACCCAGTAGGAATGAGCGACCACAGTGTACTGGTGTTTGAGTACCTGATTGAAGAAGGGTTATTGAACTCGAGGAGGGATACCGAAACCAAAAGGTTAGCATACCGAAAGGGAAACTATGAGGGGATAAGAAAATTCCTAACAGATATAGCATGGGAAACAGAGCTCAGGGGAAAGACGGCCCAAGATATGATGGATTACATCACGCAGAAGTGCAAGGACGCAGCAAACAAGTTTGTCCCAGTCCAAAAGGAAAACAGAGAAATGAAGATGAGAAACCCATGGTTTAATCACAGATGTAGGCTAGCTAAGCAGCAAAGTAAAAGGGCATGAGAAACTATAGGAATAACAGGACACTGGAGAGCAGAGAAAGATACCAGAATGCCAGGAATGAATATGTCAGGATGAGAAGAGAGGCAGAAAGACAATACGAAAATGACATCGCAAGCAAGGCAAAGACTCAGCCTAAATTGTTGCATATCCACATTAGGAGAAAAACAACAGTAAAGGAACAGGTTATGAGATTAAGAATAGGGGCGGAAGGATTCACTACAAATGACAAGGAAGTGTGTGAGGAATTGAATAAGAAATTCCAGGAGGTCTTCACCTTAGAGCAAGGAGAAATTCCAGAGGTAAGTGAGGGAATAGCTAACCAGGAACCACTGGAAGAGTTTGAGATTACCAGTGGGGAAGTAAGGAAGTGTTTACTAGAGTTGGACGTGACGAAGGCTATAGGCCCAGATGGAATCTCCCCTTGGGTTCTAAAGGAAGGAGCAAGAGAACTGTGCCTACCACTCTCCATAGTGTATAACAAATCACTGGCAACAGGGGAACTGCCAGATATTTGGAAAGCAGCTAACGTAGTCCCGATATACAAGAAAGGGGATAGACAGGAGGCACTGAACTACAGGCCAGTGTCCCTAACCTGCATACCATGCAAGCTGATGGAGAAGATTGTGCGAAAAAAACTAGTGGAGCATCTGGAGCGAAGGAACTTTGTAACACAGCATCAACATGGGTTCAGGGATGGCAGGTCCTGCCTCACAGGGTTACTTGAATTCTACGACCAGGCAACAAAAATAAGGCAAGAAAGAGAAGGGTGGGCAGACTGCATATTTTTGGATTGTCAGAAAGCCTTTGATACAGTGCCACACAAGAGGCTAGTGCGAAAGTTGGAGATGCAGGCTGGAGTGAGAGGGAAGGTACTCCGGTGGATAGAGGAGTACCTAAGCAACAGGAGACAACGAGTCTGTGTGAGGGGTGAGGTCTCAGATTGGCGAGACGTCACAAGTGGAGTCCCGCAGGGGTCAGTCCTTGGACCTATACTGTTTCTGGTATATGTAAATGATCTCCCAGAGGGTATAGATTCGTTCCTCTCAATGTTTGCCGACGATGCAAAAATTATGAGGAGGATTGAAACAGAGGATGATAGTAGGAGGCTACAAGATGACCTGGATAGACTGAGTGAATGGTCCAACAAATGGCTGTTGAAGTTCAACCCGAGTAAATGCAAAGTAATGAAACTAGGCAGTGGAAACAGGAGGCCAGGCACAGGATACAGAATAGGAGATGAAGTACTTAATGAAACAGACAGAGAGAAAGATCTAGGAGTTGATATCACACCAAACCTGTCTCCTGAAGCCCACATAAAGAGAATAACGTCTGCGGCATATGCGAGGCTGGCTAACATCAGAACGGCGTTCAGGAACCTGTGTAAGGAATCATTCAGAATCTTGTACACCACATATGTAAGACCAATCCTGGAGTATGCGGCCCCAGCATGGAGCCCGTACCTTGTCAAGCACAAGACGAAGCTGGAAAAAGTCCAAAGGTATGCTACTAGACTAGTCCCAGAACTAAGAGGCATGAGTTATGAGGAAAGGCTGCGGGAAATGCACCTTACGACACTGGAAGACAGAAGAGTAAGTGGGGACATGATCACAACCTACAAAATCCTCAGGGGAATCGACCGGGTAAACAAGGATGAACTATTCAACACTGGTGGGACGCGAACAAGGGGACACAGGTGGAAGCTGAGTACCCAAATGAGCCACAGAGACGTTAGAAAGAACTTTTTCAGTGTCAGAGTAGTTAGTAAATGGAATGCATTAGGAAGTGATGTGGTGAAGGCTGACTCCATACACAGTTTCAAATGTAGATATGATAGAGCCCAATAGGCTCAGGAATCTGTACACCAGTTGATTGACGGTTGAGAGGCGGGACCCAAGAGCCAGAGCTCAACCCCCGCAAGCACAATTAGGTGAGTACACACACACACACACACACACACACACACACACACACACACACACACACACACACACACACACACACACACACACACACACACACACACACACACACACACACACACAATGGGAGGACCAACAATAGTAGTAGCAGTAATATACAACCCTCCACCAAATGACAGAAGACCCAGTCAAGAGTATGACAACAACAACATGGCAGTTAACACTATAATTGAGAGGGCAGCCTCTGCTGCCTGTAGAAACAGATCCCACCTGCTCATCATGAGGGACTTCAATCACGGAAGGATTGACTGGGAGAACAAGGAACCGCATGGAGGCGAGGATACGTGGAGAGCCAAACTACTGGAGGTGGTGACTAGAAACTTCTTAACCCAGCATGTCAGTGAACCCACAAGGATGAGAGGAAATGACGAACCAGCGAGACTCGACCTGGTCTTCACCCTGAACGACTCTGACATAAGAGAAATCGGTTTTGAGGCCCCAGTAGGAATGAGCGACCACAGTGTACTGGTGTTTGAGTACCTGATTGAAGAAGGGTTATTGAACTCGAGGAGGGATACCGAAACCAAAAGGTTAGCATACCGAAAGGGAAACTATGAGGAGATAAGAAAATTCCTAACAGATATAGCATGGGAAACAGAGCTCAGGGAAAAGACGGCCCAAGATATGATGGACTACATCACGCAAAAGTGCAAGGAAGCAGCAAACAAGTTTGTCCCAGCCCAAAAGGAAAACAGTGAAATGAAGATGAGAAACCCATGGTTTAATCAGAGATGTAGGCTAGCTAAGCAGCAAAGTAAAAGGGCATGGAGAAACTATAGGAATAACAGGACACTGGAGAGCAGAGAAAGATACCAGAATGCCAGGAATGAATATGTCAGGATGAGAAGAGAGGCAGAAAGACAATACGAAAATGACATCGCAAGCAAGGCAAAGACTCAGCCTAAATTGCTGCATAGCCACATCAGGAGAAAAACAACAGTAAAGGAACAGGTTATGAAATTAAGGATAGGGGCAGAAGGATTCACTACAAACGACAAGGAAGTGTGTGAGGAACTGAATAAGAAATTCCAAGAGGTCTTCACCTTAGAGCAAGGAGAAATCCCAGAGATAAGAGAGGGAATAGCTAACCAGGAACCACTGGAAGAGTTTGAGATTACCAGCGGGGAAGTAAGGAAGTGTTTACTAGAGTTGGATGTGACAAAGGCTATAGGCCCAGATGGAATCTCCCCTTGGATACTAAAGGAAGGAGCAGAAGAACTGTGCCTACCACTCTCCATAGTGTATAACAAATCTCTGGCAACTGGGGAACTGCCAGAAATTTGGAAAGCAGCTAACGTAGTCACGATATACAAGAAAGGGATAGACAGGAGGCACTGAATTACAGGCCAGTGTCCCTAACCTGCATACCATGCAAGCTGATGGAGAAGATTGTGCGAAGAAAACTAGTGGAGCACCTGGAGCGAAAGAACTTTGTAACACAGCATCAACATGGATTCAGGGATGGCAGGTCCTGCCTCACAGGGTTACTTGAATTCTACGACCAGGCAACAAAAATAAGGCAAGAAAGAGAAGGGTGGGCAGACTGCATATTTTTGGATTGTCAGAAAGCCTTTGATACAGTGCCACACAAGAGGCTAGTGAAAAAGCTGGAGATGCAGGCTGGAGTGAAAGGGAAGGTACTCCGTTGGATACAGGAGTACCTAAGCAACAGGAGACAACGAGTCAGTGTGAGGGGTGAGGTCTCAGATTGGCGAGACGTTACGAGTGGAGTCCCGCAGGGGTCAGTCCTTGGACCTATACTGTTTCTGATATATGTAAATGATCTCCCAGAGGGTATAGAATCGTTCCTCTCAATGTTTGCCGATGATGCAAAAATTATGAGGAGGATTGAAACAGAGGACGATAGTAGGAGGCTACAAGATGACCTAGACAGACTGAGTGAATGGTCCAACAAATGGCTGTTGAAGTTCAACCCGAGTAAATGCAAAGTAATGAAACTAGGCAGTGGAAACAGGAGGCCAGACACAGGATACAGAATAGGAGATGAAGTACTTAATGAAACGGACAGAGAGAAAGATCTAGGAGTTGATATCACACCAAACCTGTCCCCTGAAGCCCACATAAAAAGAATAACGTCTGCGGCATATGCGAGGCTGGCTAACATCAGAACAGCGTTCAGGAACCTGTGTAAGGAATCATTCAGAATCTTGTACACCACATATGTAAAACCAATCCTGGAGTATGCGGCCCCAGCATGGAGCCCGCATCTTGTCAAGCACAAGACGAAGCTGGAAAAAGTCCAAAGGTATGCCACTAGACTAGTCCCAGAACTAAGAGGCATGAGTTATGAGGAAAGGCTGCGGGAAATGCACCTTACGACACTGGAAGACAGAAGAGTAACTGGGGACATGATCACAACCTACAAAATCCTCAGAGGAATCGACCGGGTAAACAAGCATAAACTATTCAACACTGGTGGGACACGAACAAGGGGACACAGGTGGAAGCTGAGTACCCAAATGAGCCACAGAGACGTTAGAAAGAACTTTTTCAGTGTCAGAGTAGTTAACGGATGGAATGCATTAGGCAGTGATGTGGTGGAGGCTGACTCCATACACAGTTTTAAATGTAGATATGATAGAGCCCAGTAGGCTCAGGAATCTGTACACCAGTTGATTGACAGTTGAGAGGCGGGACCAAAGAGCCAAAGCTCAACCCCCGCAAGCACAAATAGGTGAGTACACAGACACACACACACACACACACAAGCACAATTAGGTGAGTACACACACACACACACACAGTCACACACACACACACACACACACACACACACACACACACACACACACACACACACACACACACACACACACACACACACACACACACACACACACACACACACACACACACACACACACACACACACACACACACACACACACAGAGGCTGCAGCAGAGAAGAGCTGCCTAACTTCCTGGACCCCAGCAAGGGACTGAACCCGTGCGTGGTGAAGGACCGCTGTGTAGGTCAGTGCTCTCCAGGTCACCGCCTCATGCACCACAGGTCCTGTTTCCTGGATAAGTTGAACACTTTCCTGGATGAGTTGAACACATCAATGGACATCCTGGATGAGTTGAACACATCAATGATCATCTTGAATGAGTTGAACACATCAATGGACATCCTGGATGAGTTGAACACTTTCCATTTAACTAAATGGAAAATTGACTGCGACTTCCTCTAATGACAGCGACTTCGCAGCCTACACAGTAACGTTATATTATGGTTGTTACAACGTTATGTACGTTACTAGCAACATTGACGACGTTGTGGGTTAGGTTGTGTGTTTGCTGGGAATTGTTGTTCTTTCTGCTGATCTTGGATGTCTCTGTGAGGTTAAGAGGTAGAGAGTTGTGACTGTTGAGCAATATAATACAAATTATCGTCTGAGGAGACGGGTGTGTCTGGGCACAACATTTCGTACATTTCACAGCTTGCAAAATTGTAGTGACATGATGATGTACTCCTCAGGCGGACAAGATGGAGGACGACACCTTCCTGAGGTGCATCGAGGCCAACATGCTCAACGACCTGACGCTCCAGGGGATCGAGTCCATCTCCAAGGTGTACATGCACCTGCCGCAGACTGATGAGAAGAAGCGGATCATCATCAACGAACAGGGAGAGTTTAAGGCCATCGCCGAGTGGCTGTTGGAGACTGACGGCACCGCCCTCATGAAGGTCCTCTCCGAGCGCGACGTCGACCCCGTCAGGACCTCCTCCAACGACATCCTCGAGGTGTTCGAGGTACTGGGCATCGAAGCCGTCAGGAAGTGTATTGAGAAAGAGATGAACGCTGTGCTTATGTTCTACGGCCTGTACGTCAACTACCGCCACCTGGCGCTGCTGTGTGACGTCATGACCAGCAAGGGCCACCTCATGGCCATCACTCGCCACGGCATCAACCGGCAGGACACGGGCGCCCTCATGAAGTGCTCCTTCGAGGAGTCCGTCGACGTGTTGATGGAGGCCGCGTCGCACGCCGAAGTCGACCCCATCCGGGGCGTGTCTGAAAACATCATCCTCGGCCAGCTGCCCAAGATCGGCACCGGATCCTTCGACCTGGTGCTCGACGACGAGAAGTGCAAGCTGGGCATGGAGGTGCCCATGCCCGGGGCAGCCATGATGCACCCTGGGAGTATATTCAGCGAGGCGTCACCCTCCTCGGGCATGACCCCCGCCCACACCCCCTGGGGGTCCGCCACCACCCCCTCCATGTCCCCGTATGGCGGGTGGACGCCTGGGGTGGGCAGCGGCATGACCCCCGGGGGACCTGCCTTCTCCCCTGCCGCCGCCACGGAGACCACAGGTCTCTCCCCAGGCTACTCCCCAGCCTGGTCTCCCCAGCCTGGGAGCCCCGGGTCTCCAGGGGGGTTGAGCCCCTATTTCCCCAGCCCTGGGAGCGCTGTGTCCCCCTCCTACTCCCCCTCCTCCCCTGCCTACCAGCCTACTTCCCCAAGCTTGACTCCTGCCTCTCCGGGCTACTCCCCAACCTCCCCAACATACAGTCCCACCAGCCCTCGCTACTCCCCCACTTCTCCCCAGTACTCCCCAACCTCACCCTCATATTCCCCTACCTCCCCTTCATACAGCCCCACCTCCCCCTCCTACTCCCCCACCTCCCCATCTTACTCCCCTACTTCCCCTTCATATTCCCCCACCTCCCCCTCCTACTCCCCCACCTCCCCCTCCTACTCCCCTACCTCCCCCTCCTATTCTCCTACTTCCCCCTCCTACTCCCCCACCTCCCCATCTTACTCCCCCACCTCCCCATCTTACTCCCCCACTTCTCCCTCTTACTCCCCAACCTCCCCCTCCTACTCCCCTACTTCCCCCTCTTACTCCCTACTTCCCCCTCCTACTCCCCTACTTCCCCCTCTTACTCCCCTACTTCCCCCTCCTACTCCCCAACCTCCCCGAGTTATGCGCCCAACTATTCCCCATCCTCGCCGGGTTACTCCCCAACCAGTCCCTCGTACTCCCCAAGCTCCCCACAATACTCCCCAGCTTCGCCTTCCTACTCCCCAACCTCCCCCAAGTACTCCCCGACCAGTCCAACATACTCCCCCGGTTCACCCTCCTACTCCCCGACCTCCCCCAAGTACTCCCCGACCAGTCCAACATACTCCCCAACCTCACCTTCATACTCTCCGTCCTCCCCAAAATACTCGCCAACTTCGCCAAACTTCTCGCCAACGTCGCCAAAATACTCGCCCACCTCGCCAACCTACAGCCCATCCAGCCCACAATACAGCCCCACCAGTCCCAAATATTCTCCAACCTCGCCGACTTACAGCCCCAGTAGCCCCAAATATTCGCCAACTTCGCCAACCTACAGCCCCAGCACACCAGGCTATAGCCCCACCTCGCCTGACTACTCCCCGAGCCTTGCTGACGACGACGACGACGACAACGACCAACGCAAGAAACAAAAGAAGAAAGCCAAGCGTTAATACTCACCAAACTGTTCACCATTGTTCGCCAAATGTTTCGCTAACGTCATCAAAATACTCGATCACGTCGCCAACTTATACAACCCGTCCACTCCACAGTCCTACTATCCCCAAAATGCTCGCCAACGTCGCCAAAATGCTCGCCAACGTCGCCAAAATGCTCACCAACGTCGCCAAAATGCTCACCAACTTCGTAATCCTGCAGCACCAACAACAGGTTGAAGTATAATGGGTCATGTAACTCGAGACTCTCTAACGGTACTTGAGTATAAAGTTCTGTCACTATTATAATAATAATAATAGTCATAACAATAATAGGATTTAAATAAAATACATTTGAAACAAGGCACAGTGAAGTTTTACCTGAATATACCTGAGAATATACCTGAGTTCTGACGAGGTCAGGTCACCTTCTTGAGCCGTTTATCCTCTCTTCTTCCCTGTCTCTTCTGAATTCTGGTGAGCTCACTCATTTGGACTCTCGGACTTGCACCCTTTCCTGTCTTGATCTTTCTCTTTGCTCTTCTTCTCTTTACTTAGATTTCACGTGGCAGGTTCTTGATGACCTCCATGGAAGTGATCATTTCCCCATCCTTGTTTCCTTTTTCTCTTTTCGTCCTTCCCTCTCCTTCCCTAGGTGGCAGTTTGCTAAAGCGGACTGGAATCTCTTTACCCTCAGTGCTGCTCTCTCTGACCTCTCCCTTCTGCCTCCCTCGCGCTCTCCTCCTTTTTCATGACACTGTCTTCGACGCTGCCCTCCGCTCTATTCCTCGCTCTTCCTCTCGGGGTCCACGGAAGTGCGTTCCCTGGTGGAATGCAGACTGTGTTCGGGCTGTCCGCTGTAAGCGTGCAGCCTGGAAGAGGCACCGCCGTCGGCAGACGGCCGATTCTTTTCTTTTCTTTCGGAAAACGAGTGCGGTGGCTAAGCATGATTGTTGGGCATCTTATGTCTCCACAATTTCGTCCGAAACTCCCCTGCCACAGATCTGGAAGCGTATCCGCAAGACAGTGGGTAAGTTCGTTCCCGATGTTTCACCGGTCCTTCACCTCCGTGGTACTCTTGTGGCAGACCCGTTGCAGGTTGCTACCGAACTGGGTTCCCACTTTTTTTCTGTTAGCTCTAGTCTTCACCTTCCCCAATCTTTCCTTCTTCGTAAACCTGTCCTTGAGTCTCGTCCTTTCGATTTCTGCACTCGTCTTGGACTTTCCTATAATGATCCCTTTTCTCTCTCTGAACTTCGTTCTGCCCTGGCCCCTCTGCGGTTCTACGGTGGCGGGCTCCGATGGTATTCATTATGAGATACTTCGCCATCTCCCTCCGTCCACGTCTCAGTATTTACTGAGTCTGTATAATCGGATCTGGGAGTCGTCGTCAGTCCCTGAGGACTGGCTCGATGCCGTTGTCCTCCCTGTTCGCAAACCGGGGTCTCTGGGTACTTTCCCTAAGGACTTTCGCCCTATTGCCCTCACAAGTTGTGTCTGCAAACTCTTTGAACGTATGGTTAACGTTCGTCTGATGTGGTTCCTGGAACACCATCACCTCCTCTCCCCTTCTCAATTTGGTTTCCGCAAGTGCCGCAGCACGACAGATGTCCTGGTGAACTTGGAGGTCTATATTCGTACTGCTTTTGCTGCGAGGACCTCCGTTGTTGCCATCCTTTTTGACCTGGAAAAGGCTTACGACACCACTTGGCGATATCATATTCTATCCCAGCTTCAATCTTTTGGCCTTCGTGGTCATCTCCCTCTCTTTCTCAGCAGCTTCCTTTCTCGTCGTTCCTTTCGGGTGCGCCTTGGTACCGCTCTCTGCCTCTTTTCAGCAGTACGAAGGTGTGCCCCAGGGTAGTGTTCTGAGCACTACTCTTTTTCTGGTTGCCCTCAATGGTCTTCTTTCCTCTCTTCCTACAGGTGTCTTCTCCGCTCTCTATGTCGATGATCTTACCCTTTGCTGTCAGGGTGATGATTCGTCTCTCCTTCAGCGCCGGCTTCAACTTGCGATTGATGCCGTGTCGTCTTGGGCCACCGATCATGGCTTCAAGTTTTCTACTTCTAAGACTTGTGCCATGTCTTTTACTCGGAAACGGGTTGTTCTTCGTCCCTCTTTTTCACTTTATGGTCATCCCCTTGAGTACAAAGATTCCGCGAAGCTTTTGGGGTTATTCCTTGACACTTGTTTGTCCTGGTCTCCCCACTCTTACCTCCGTGTTGAGTGCTCTAAGGTCCTTACCCTCCTTCGGGTATTGTTCCATACTTCTTGGGGAGCGGATAGGCGCACTTTCCTTGTTTTACATTCCTCTCTCGTCCTGTCTAAGCTCGATTATGGTTGCCCTGCTAACTCATCTGCTTCTCCTTCAACTCTTCGCCGTCTTGATACCATACGTGCCAGAGCCTCAGCTCTGGTGCCTTTCGTTCGACTCCCGTCCTTAGCTTGCATGTTGACAATGGCTTCCTGTCTCTCCAGGACCGCCGTGATCGCTACTGTCTTGCGCGGTCCTTACAACATCCTCCCTCTCGCCTCTGTCGTGCTTTAACTTTTACCCCTCCTGCGGTTCCTGCTCCTCTTCACCACCTCCCTCTTTCTTACCGGTTATCTCGCTTACAGGATTCTCTTTCCGTTCGTGTTTCTAATGTTTCTCCTCGTGTTGTTCCTTCTTTGTCCCCGTGGAGAGTCCCCCTTCCGCAGTTTTGTACATCCTTGACCCGCATCACTAAAGCTTTTACCCCTCCTACGGTTCTAAAACGCCTTTTCCTTGAGCACTTTTCTTCTCACTCCCGCTCTGTTTCTGTCTTCACCGATGGGTCTAAGTCTGTGGACGGTGTTGGCTACTCTGTTGTTTTTCCTGATCGCACTTATATGTGTCGCTTACCTCCGGAGACTAGCATCTTTACAGCGGAGCTTTATGCTATTCTCTGTGCTCTTTGTCTCCTGCTTTCTCGTTGTCATTCTTCCTTTGTAGTTGTTGTTGACTCTCGTAGTGCCCTCATGGCTCTTGGGTCCTTTAATCCCGGTTCATCAAGTAGTTGTCAAGATCCAGCATTGGCTGTTTCTTGTTCACAGTAAATTTAAGTCAGTTGAGTTTTGTTGGGTTCCCAGCCATATTGGTGTGTCTTTAAATGAGCGTGCGGATGCTGCCGCCAAGGAAGCTGTCCGCTCTTGTCCCATCTCTCGTAAAGGTATTCCATATTCCGACTTTTACCCGGTTATCCATTCCTCCATTCTTACCCGTTGACAGGCTTCTTGGTCGTCTGTTACTGGTAACAAACTATGTACTCTTAAATGTTGTGTCTCCTCGTGGTCGTCCTCCTGCCACCGTAACCGGCGATGGGAAACAACTCTAACGAGGTTGCGTATTGGCCATACTCGCTTAACCCATGGCCACTTGATGGAGCGCCGCCCTGCTTCTTATTGTCCTAATTGCATTGTCCCTCTTACGGTCGTGCATGTCCTTCTTGAATGTCCTGACTTCCAGGACGAGCGTGTGTCTTGCTTTCCGACCGCCCCTCGCGGTCACCTGTCCCTCAATAGAATTCTTGGTGACTCGGATACTTTTGATATCGTTCGCCTTATGCGTTTTTGTTCTCGTATTGGCATCCTTGGTGATATTTAGCGCCCTCTGATTATTCCACACATTTGATGGTGCTTCATAGCCTTCCCAGTTTGGTGCCTTCTTTTGATAATTACTTACTTTCAAAGCTTTCTCTCTAGTCGTTTCTTTAGAGTGAGGCTTGGTACCACTCTCTATGCCTCTTTTCAGCAATACGAAGGTGTACCCCCAAGGTAGTGTTCTGAGCACTAATCTTTTCCTGGTTGCTCTGAATGGTCTTCTTTCTTCCCTTCCTTCTGGCATCTTCTCCGCTCTCTATGTTGACGATCTTACCCTCTGCTGTCGAGATGATGATTCGACTTTCCTTCAATCGCAAGTTGCTCTCGAAGCAACTTGCGATTGATGCCGTATCGTTTTGGGCTACTGATCATGGCTTCAAGTTCTCTACAACTAAAACTTGTGTTGTGACTTTTACTCGGAAGCAGGTCGTTCTCCGTCCCCCTCTGTCGCTATACGGCCATCCCCTTTTGAATAGAGATTCTGCTATAGTTTTAGAGCTAATCTTTGACACTCGTTTGACTTGGTTGCCCCATATCTCTTACTTCTGAGTTAAATGCTCTAAAGCCCTTAACTTACTTAAGTTCTTGTCTCATACTTCTTGGGAAGCTGATAGGTGCACCCTTCTCTCTTTGCATTCCTCTCTCGTCCTGTCTAAACTTAATTATGGTTGCCCTGTTTACTCGTCTGCTTCTCCCTCTACCCTTCACCGTCTTAACGCTCTGCACCATACTGGGTAATGCCTCAGCTCTGGTGCCTGTCGTTCGATTCCTACCCTCAGCCTGTATGTTGAAACTGGCGTCCTGTCTCTACAGGGTCGCCGTGATCGCTATTGTCTTCGCTACCTTGCACGGTCCTTACAATACCCGCACCCTTCACTCATGTCGTGCCTTAACCTTTACAACTCCTGTGGTTCCTGTTCCCCTTCACCACCTACCTCTTTCTGTACGAGTGTCTTGCTTACAAGATGCTCTTTCGGTTTGTGTTACTAATATTTCCCCCTCCTGTCGTTCCGGCTTTGTCCCCGTGGGGGATCCCCCTTCCTACATTTTGTAACACCTTGACCTAAGTGACTAAAGCTTTTACCCCTCCTACGGCTCTGAAATGCCTTTTCCTTGAACATTTTTCTTCCCACTCCCACTCCATTCCCGTCTTCACCGATGGGTCTAAGTCTGCAGACGGTGTAGGCTACTCTGTTGTTTTTCCTGACCACACCAATATGTGTCGCCTGCCTCCGGAGACTACCATCCCCACAGCAGAACTTTATGTTATTCTATATGCTCTTCGTCAACTGCTTTCTCGCTGTCAAACCTCCTTTGTTGTTGTAGCTGACTCTCGCAGCGCCCTCATGGCTCTGGGGGCTTTAATCCAGTCCATCCGGTGATAGTGGAGATTCAACATACGCTATTTCTTATCTCCAGTAGATTTAAGACGGAGGAGTTTTGCTGGGTTCCCAGCCATATTGGTGTGTCCTTAAATGAGCGTGTGGACGCTGCCGCTAAGGAAGCTATCCGCACTTGTCCCATCTCCCGTAAAGGTATTCCTTATTTTGACTTTTACCCAGTTATTCATTCTTCCATCCTTGCCCGTTGGCAGGGTTGTTGGTCTTCTGTTGCTGGTAACAAACTGCGTACTCTTAAGAGTAGTGTGTCCCCGTGGCCTTCCTCCTACCACCATAACCGGCGGTGGGAAACGGCTCTTGCAAGGTTGCATATTGGCCATACATGCTTATCTGACGGGCACTTAATGGAGCGCCACCCTGCTCCTTATTGTCCAAACTACATTGTCCCTCTTACAGTTGTGCATATACTTGTTGAATGTCCTGATTTCCAGGACGAGCGTGTGTGTCTTGCTTTCCGACCGTCCCTTGATAGAATTTTTGGTGAATCGAATACATTTCATGTTTTCCTTATGCGTTTCTGTTCTGATATTGGCATCCTTAGTGATAATTAGCGGCCTATGATTATCCCACACATTTTATGGTGCTACACAGCCTTCCCGGCTTGGTGCCTTCTTTTGATAATTACTTACTTACTTAAACCTAATACATGTTGCTTGCAACATGCAACAGGCAAGCACTACGACCTTGCAATGTCGCAATATAATATATATAATTGCAATGTTGCAATGCAATATGGTCATATAATGATGGAAATACTGCCGATGTATATCCTACAATGTTGAAAGGTCATAACTTGCAATACTGCCATGTGCACTATAATGTAGCACGGCTGGTGGAGGCACGCGGTCTATAGTCCACTTTATCCCCTATAAAGTGAGGTCGAGGTTAAAGGGACTTGGGGGTTTAAAGGGAGGAGGCGAGGGTTAAGGAGGCGGGGGTTAAAGAGGTGGTTGGTGTTCCAATAGTAGTTGGATTTAAGGCGGTGGAAGAAGTGTTCCCCAAGGAAGTCCTCCTGTAAGTGTGTGGGATTAGTCTTCTTTTTGATTTGCTTGTCTACCTTTTGCTGTCCTTTATATGTAGTTCATTTTACCCTTCCTTCCCTCACCACTCTAATATAGTAAGTACTCGGCCTTCTTTGGATACAACATGAAAAGTGGAACAACATTTATGTTGGTACTTTTCACCGGTTTACACAACACTGAAACTTTTCTTTTTTTTTTACCTGGGCAGTACATATTATTTCCTAATTGCCCGAAACGCTGTGCGTGCTAGTGACTTTACAAGAATGTAAAATCAACTCAATTTTTATGTTCTCTGTTAGTCCCTAATGTACCTTCTTGTATATAAATAAATAAATAAATAAATAAATAAATAAATAAATAAATAAATTGGGTTTGCCTACAAAGTATACATAATAGCTATTATTTATCAAAAAAAATTTGCTTTTGTGACTAAGATGGGTTCTGCTTCAATCTCTAAGTGATCAGTCTATTCGTGGCATTTAGCACCTGTACCCCAAACGACTGGCGCCTCACCATTGGTAGCACATCCAGGGGCATAAAGGCCGCGTTGTTCCATAATGGGAACAAGTACCAATCTTGTCCCCTGGCTCACTGGGTGACCCCTCAGAGAGGATAACAGCAGCATCAAGACCTTGATGGATGTCTGAAGTATGATGAGTGCAGCTGGGTCATTGGAGGCGTCATCATTGTGACATTCCTGATGGGTCTCTAAGGCGGTTTGACCATGTTTCCCTGCTAGCTTTCCCTTTGAGACAGCAGGAGCACTACCACAGGCGGAAGTGCCCATAGAGGACTGATGTCTCGGTGGGGAGGACTGATGTCTCGGTGGGGAGGACTGATGTCTCGGTGGGGAGGACTGATGTCTCGGTGGGGAGGACTGATGTCTCGGTGGGGAGGATTGATGTTTCGGTGGGGAGGACTGGTGTCTCGGTGGGGAGGACTGGTGTCTCGGTGGGGAGGACTGGTGTCTCGGTGGGGAGGACTGGTGTCTCGGTGGGGAGGTCTCGGTGGGGAGGATTGATGTCTCGGTGGGGAGGATTGATGTTGATGTTTCGGTCGGTGGGGAGGACTGGTGTCTCGGTGGGAGGACTGGTGTCTCGGTGGGGAGGACTGGTGTCTCGGTGGGGAGGACTGGTGTCTCGGTGGGGAGGACTGGTGTCTCGGTGGGGAGGATTGATGTCTCGGTGGGGAGGACTGATGTTTCGGTGGGGAGGACTGGTGTCTCGGTGGGGAGGACTGGTGTCTCGGTGGGGAGGACTGGTGTCTCGGTGGGGAGGATTGATGTCTCGGTGGGGAGGATTGATGTCTCGGTGGGGAGGACTGGTGTCTCGGTGGGGAGGACTGGTGTCTCGGTGGGGAGGACTGGTGTCTCGGTGGGGAGGATTGATGTCTCGGTGGGGAGGACTGATGTTTCGGTGGGGAGGACTGGTGTCTCGGTGGGGAGGACTGATGTCTTGGTGGGGAGGACTGATGTCTCGGTGGGGAGGACTGATGTCTCGGTGGGGAGGACTGATGTCTCGGTGGGGAGGACTGGTGTCTCGGTGGGGAGGACTGATGTCTCGGTGGGGAGGACTGATGTCTCGGTGGGGAGGATTGATGTTTCGGTGGGGAGGACTGATGTCTCGGTGGGGAGGACTGGTGTCTCGGTGGGGAGGACTGATGTCTCGGTGGGGAGGAACGTCAAGTGAGAGCCATTGGTTGACCCACGGAATGTGCTAATGCCGCCACTGTACATAAAATTGGGCCTTATAAAACAATTTATCACAGCTCTTCAAGACTTCTTCCCTCAGATGTCTGAGGCAAAGATCAAAGAAAGTATATTAGTCAGGACCTTAGATAAAGAAGATCCTGGAGTGTAAGGAATTTCTCAAGAAACTCACAAGGAAGGGAAAAACTGGCTTGAAACAGTTATGTCGCAGTAGTCCGAGGCTTCTTGGGCAATCACAAGTGGGAAAACTATGTAGAGTTGGTTGAGACTGGTGAAGAACTACGGAATAATGGGCTTCAGGATGTCCTTCAAAGTCCATATCATTGATTCTCATTTTAATAAATACACTGAGAACATGAGAGCATACTCAGAGGAGGAAGGTGAGTGCTTCCACCAAGACATACTGAACATAACGAGGCTACCGGGGACGGTGCAACGAGAACATGGCGGCAGACTGTATTTGGAGGCTGATTCGTGAAAGTGATTTCTAAATCTGGACAGCTGCCTCGTATGGTCCAATAGGCCTTCAGCAGTTACCTTTGTTCTTATGTTCATAAATCTTTTGTGGTCATTTTTGTATAACTTTAATATAAATGCACGTTAGTTTTCTTTTATATAACACAGGGTGCAAATTCGACAATTTTCTCAATGGAACTAGGGACATTGAAAAATATACTGTAAATATATAATATATATATAATATATATATATATATATATATATATATATATATATATATATATATATATATATATATATATATATATATATATATATATATATATATATATATATATATATATATATATATATATATATATATATTTATTTATTTATTCTTCGTGGAGTGTCGTCGCCAGAAGCCTATTACAGGTTCGTGTGTTAACTGTCATATTTTCATTCAGTAAAGGAAATGATCTTTCTGTACAAAATGTTTATTAATGCGAGTCAGTGCATTGTCAGTACAGTGTATAATTAATATTTTAAGTAATATAATTGGTATTATAAGACAGTCATTTATGCAAATCCAGAGACCAATATTAATGATATTTAATTTTTATTAAGTTGCATGACACTTGTTTTAATTTTTTGCTTTTTAATACAGATTCAAACTTCATATATCCTGAATATGGTTTGTTCAGCAATATTGTATATCGCGATCTGTTCGCTGAGCATTTATGTCATAAATTGGGTTCACGGTATACAGTCGTAGTTCTCAGGTCTTCCTGGCTACAACAGTTATTCTCATTGCTTGTGCATAATAGTCTGCCAAAGTAGACAATAGGCATCATACTTCAGTACCAAATAATATTAAAAAAATCACACATTTGTATTTAAAATTACGGTGTTTGATGCATCATCATCTCCACCATCTCGCTCCTGCTGCCATCTTGAGTGACTGTTATGCTCCTTCAGGACTCTCTCTTCAATCCACATCATCGTCTCCTTCCTCATCCTTCAGGATCCCCAGCCTCTTAGCTATGTTCTTAACGTAACTAATAACTTCTTCTTGGACTAAGTTGAAACTCATAGCCAGTAGAGCGATGCCAAACAAGAGATATATGGAACACAAAGCGATGCTCAGTTCCTGGTCCTCCTTGACTCCCTGGGCAGGAACAAAATCACCGAATCCTGTAGTCGAGAAATTTGTATATATGCTGTAAACTGTCTTTGAATTAATAAATAACTTATCTAATAAAATTACAAAAACATAAATCTTTATTTCACTTCCCACTAAAGTGGCATGAATCTTAGCATGAAGAATTTCTTTAGCATTTAAGAGTTATATGAGACTGATCATTATTGTAAATTACACCTCACAAGGCATTTGATGTATGAAATCTGATTGACCCATATTTGAAAAAACCTGGTTGGCCGCGAGCTTAAACTGAGTTTGATAGGCTGTAAAATTAGCCACGTACTTGTGTATTTACATATCATAGTTTCCCTAATGAAGCTCCTTTTACAGCAATTAATTTCCCATCTGCATATATTATATAAACATTGGTTAATATTAGATTAGTTCTGCAGACAAAATAGCATTATATATATTAGTAACTTATTATTTTACAAATATTAAGGGAAGAACAGAGCTACAAACATGCATGACCAGTGGAGACCTTTCCACCTGCTGACCTATTGTTGTCAGAGTGATGAAACAGAAGTAGAAAGAGTCAAGGAAGCGCCATTTCTCCCAGCTAGCAAAAAGGAACGCTCCACCCAAGATGTAAGCCAGCACCAGCATCAAGCCTAGCCATATAGGCACAGGCCTGTCTCCAATTATGTCGTCTTCCTCGTCGTCATCGTCGTACCTATCACCGTAGTCGTCGTAGTAGTACTCTTCATCTAGACGGGAGAGACGACCCCTAGGATCAGGTGGTGATGGTAAGTGCCGGGAGTACCTGTCAGAGGTCCGGGGAGACCGTGGCATCGTGGGGGAGTCGGAGTAGCCTGTGGCAACGGGGAACAATATCAATGCACAGTGTTCATCGCTTGGAGAAAAAATAACAATGTTAACACAATAGGCTACTCTTACTGAGAACAGATGTTGGTGACACTGACAAAGTTAGCTGAGGTTACCGTCTGCCTCAGCTCCTACTAAAGGTTAAAAAAGCTTTTGCCGCACCTCTTAATACTACAATATATAAATAAACCCATTTTTTTTAAGAAGGTAAAAGCTATAAATGAATTAGTAAAGCATCAAAACCTGGAAACAATTTTATAAGTAATGGAATGCATATTGCGCCTCGTTCTCAATAGGAATATAATTATATTCTATTGCGTGTTAAAGAAAGGAATCATACCGATTTATTTAAGTATTTTTGAATATGGATTTATCACAAATATAAACCAGGATGCATTAGAACCATTTCTAATTCCAAAGTGCTCTGTACAAAAATTAAAAATAATAGAAAATAGTAATATCACTAATCACGAAATCACATTGGAGTGAGATATCAATGACAAAATAATTTGAGGCAGTAAGGTGACTTGAATCAGCGTTCTAGTGATTCCCAGACGCTTATCATTACCTGCAGGCCAGAGTGTAGCCGGGCCATTCGTAAAATCCTCGTTGTGGCACCAGTTGGTGCCACAAATGGACCCTCAATTCCGGACCCTTCCCGTGATTTCAGTAGAGTTCCAGGTTGAATGGCTTTTTGACCAATCGTGGCTGAGTTGGTGAATGCAGGCATTTAGAAATTGTTAGAACGCTGATTCAAGGTACTTTATTGTCCCCAAATGATTTTCTCAATATTCCTAGTCCCAAAGGTGATGAAAACGAGGTTAGTTCCATTGCAGCCAATCTAGACTTTGTCATCAAGGACATGGTGCTGCCTAGACATATTCTCAAGCTTTGGCTTCCGTCTCAAGGCAGTCACATCATCAGCTGAGAGTAAGCCATGTAATCACTACTTTTGGTCTTAGACTTGTAACTCAAAAACTAGATTTGTACAGATTTTAACTTTGTTATGTTTTACAAGTCTATTAAATTACAAAAATATTTTTAATTTACATAAATTATAGAGCATTTTCTATAGTCGTTGATTTCCTAGGTGGTGGATGCCGGGTAGGTTAGATGATGTTGAATATTTTGATTTAAATTAAAGAATTTAAATATTTTGATATAAATGGAATGAAACTCGAAATAATTTGAGACTTGTAAGGGATTTTTTTATTTTTTGTTAAAGGCTTCTGATGCCTTTAACAACAACAAGTGCATTACATATATATATATATATATATATATATATATATATATATATATATATATATATATATATATATATATATATATATATATGCGAACAAGCCTGAATGGTCCCCAGGACAATATGCAACTGACATATATATATATATATATATATATATATATATATATATATATATATATATGCGAACAAGCCTGAATGGTCCCCAGGACTATATGCGTCTGAAAACTCACACCCCAGAAGTGACTCGAACCCATACTCCCAGGAGCAACGCAACTGGTAACTACAGGGCGCCTTAATCCGCTTGACCATCACGGCCGGACAAAAGGAAGTGATAGCCGAAGCTATTTGAACCACTTCCCCGCCGGCAACTCGGATGGTAATCTTGGGCATAGCATTTTATCAAATCACCTCATTCTTTGGGGCACACGTGAGGAACACAAATGCGAACAAGCCTGAATGGTCCCCAGGACTATATGCGTCTGAAAACTCACACCCCAGAAGTGACTCGAACCCATACTCCCAGGAGCAATGCAACTGGTAACTACAGGGCGCCATAATCCGCTTGACCATCATGGCCGGACAAAAGGAAGTGATAGCCGAAGCTATTTGAACCACTTCCCCGCCGGCAACTCGGATGGTAATCTTGGGCATAGCATTTTATCAAATCACCTCATTCTTTGGGGCACACGTGAGGAGCACAAATGCGAACAAGTCTGAATGGTCCCCAGGACTATATGCATCTGAAAACTCACACCCCAGAAGTGACTCGAACCCATACTCCCAGGAGCAACGCAACTGGTAACTACAGGGCGCCTTAATCCGTTTGACCATCACGGCCGGACAAAAGGAAGTCATAGCCGAAGCTATTTGAACCACTTCCCCGCCGGCAACTCGGATGGTAATCTTGGGCATAGCATTTTATCAAATCACCTCATTCTTTGGGGCACACGTGAGGAACACAAATGCGAACAAGCCTAAATGGTCCCCAGGACTATATGCGTCTGAAAACTCACACCCCAGAAGTGACTCGAACCCATACTCCCAGGAGCAACGCAACTGGTAACTACAGGGCGCCATAATCCGCTTGACCATCACGGCCGGACAAAAGGAAGTGATACCCGAAGCTATTTGAACCACTTCCCCGCCGGCAACTCGGATGGTAATCTTGGGCATAGCATTTTATCAAATCACCTCATTCTTTGGGGCTCACGTGAGGAGCACAAATGCGAACAAGCCTGAATGGTCCCCAGGACTATATGCGTCTGAAAACTCACACCCCAGAAGTGACTCGAACCCATACTCCCAGGAGCAACGCAACTGGTAACTACAGGGCGCCTTAATCCGTTTGACCATCACGGCCGGACAAAAGGAAGTCATAGCCGAAGCTATTTGAACCACTTCCCCGCCGGCAACTCGGATGGTAATCTTGGGCATAGCATTTTATCAAATCACCTCATTCTTTGGGGCACACGTGAGGAACACAAATGCGAACAAGCCTGAATGGTCCCCAGGACAATATGCGTCTGAAAACTCCGGCCGTTATGGTCAAGCGGATTAAGGCGCCCTGTAGTTACCAGTTGCGTTGCTCCTGGGAGTATGGGTTCGAGTCACTTCTGGGGTGTGAGTTTTCAGACATTATATATATATATATATATATATATATATATATATATATATATATATATATATATATATATATATATATATATATATATATATATATATATATATATATATATACTTAAAAGTCAACATCCACTGAGGATGTTCTAAGACACAGCATAAATCAGACAAGATGCACTGTACTCGGAGTTATGTATGGTGCTAAGTTATGACTAAGTTAGGACTCCTCTCCTAACCTACCAGAGGACCCAAAACAGAAAACAGGACGGTTGCAAGTGCTAAGAAGAGCCATGTTATAGATAGTGTTTCTACCAGGAGCCATGGTATAGATACAGTGTGACCCTTGGTGCCAGCACGAGTCACACTATATCTATAGCGTGATTCCTGCTAGCAATTTGTCTCCTGGTTTATATAGGAATTTTTCAGATGGTTTTTGGAATAGTAAGAGTCGTGGTAGCTACAACATGGCACATGGTACCTGAGACATGGCTCGTCGTATCTACAATGTGCCTTCTTGTATCTAGATGTTGGCTACTGGTATCTAGAAAATGGCTCTTGGTACCTTTCAGTTTGCCTCTTGGTACCTTTCTGTATGCCTCTTGGTACTTGTCAGTAGTAGTAGTCATCCATCAGTCTGAAGAGACTATAGAGTTGCGCTCTGGCTGTCGGTCTGGAGTGGCTTCTGGTTGTCGGTCTTTCAAATAGCCTAGCTGGAGTGTCCTCTAAATGTGGTGCCTGTGTCAGGCAACATACTCCCGCCAAAAGGAAAGGTCTAATGCCTACATGGGATGGAAATGGAGACGTGATTGGTGCAGAATAGCCTATCAGCAGGTGGCCTGACATGACGTCACGGGTGAGCAATGCATCAGAGCCTCTCAGTGGCTAATGAGTCGACACTTACGTCAGACGTTGTGAGGCAGCCCGTCCTCCTAAGGTTTACCAACGTCAAGAAAAACGGTCAAATTAAAGTGTTCTCTCCTAACCTACCAGAGGACTTGTGACGGAGTCGGTAAGACCAACATTTTGTCAGCGCCAGCGTGTAAGCGGCCGAGGACATTATAGAAGTGAGTCAACAAGATTGATTGATTGATGAAGACTTAGAAACCCAAGAAGTGGCACGGGCGTGAATAGCCCGTAAAGGCAACAATTGTTGTTGTTTAAGATTCAACTACTGGGAACAAAAAGTTCCAAGTAGCACGGGCTATGGTGAGCCCGAAGTGGACTTAAGTGGACTTACCAAGGCAACAAGTATGACCAGTAATTATATGCACAGGAGCATATAAGTATATATGCTTATATGCACAGGAGCATATAAGGGCTGGCTCACTTCAAGTGAGGGTGAACCAGCCAATGATTTTTCACCGAAGATCAGTGAAGCGAGCGTTCACTTGTTGAAACAAGGGATTATCGTGACAGCAGTGACAATTCCAATGAGATAACAACGTGCAGTGAACAATGACAGTGTTCTTAGAGACAGTTTGATATAATGGTAGCCGAGTAGCATGTGAAGCCGCTCCCTGAAGGCTACACAGGGACGGGTTGACTGTGAGTAACAATCTAATGACAGCCTAGAAAACGTGAGGAATCGAGGAGCGACTCCTTCAAAGTGTCTCTGGAGGCCAGCACCGGGAGCAACAGGGGTGAGAATACACAGTGAGGTAGCCCAGTTGTGGGCAGCTGGAAGTTGTCCACCGAGTCAGCCTACTACTGAGGGAGCCATGGGGATGGTCACAACATGGCCAGACACCTAGTGAAGGGAGCGACGTGGGAAGGAGCAGCAGGTGTAGCAGTACCTTAACAAGAGTAAGCAGAGGTTCTTCACTCAAGCTGTTATCAACTGTTACACAAGTAACAAAACTCCTCCCTCATTTACCCTTTGAAGCCAGGTGTTTCCTGAAGGGAAACATTTGGATTGATTGTTATGATTATTGATATTACGATGTACTAAGATGCATAAATGATTATTTTTATTAATTATGAGTGATATGTCATGATACTGAAACTGATGTTGTAGCCTAGAGACAAATCTAAAATTTTGGAAATCTGTTTGAAAGATTTTAAAGTCAAGTGACTCATTTCGAAGCTTTAATACTAATTTTAGAGACTTATTCAGTA